TTTAAAGTTAAAAACCTTTTTCTACAGTGTTTAATGCATCTTTGGCTTCTTCGGACCATACTATATCATTTATAATATCTTTAGTACCAACTTTATCACGCAAGTTTTTTAACTTTCCTTTTAACTCTGATTTTGTAAAATAAATCTTTTCATCTGATGTTGGTAATTCTTTTATATTATCACCTAAAATAATTTTTGGAGATGAATGTTCACTTGAAGATTCACCCCTTTTGTTAACTACTTTTTCCTCTTTTTCAATTATCTTTGCTTCTTTTATTCCTGTTTGAAAATTCATGCGAACATGCAATCCTGCAGGAATAGATTGTCCAGGTTTTATTACTTGCCATTCATTAGTTGGAATAAATGGTTCATTTAAAGCAATTTCATCATTTTCATTTGTGTCTTCTTTTGAATTATCTGATTCTTTGTTAACAACCAGAACATCTGTGACACCAAAAACACCTATTATAAATAAAAATTTAATTTTAGTAAAAAGAATATTTATCTTGGTGACATTATAGATATTTTAACTTTATCTATATAAATCGTAGATTCAAAATAAACTCAATGCTTATCTCATACTTTAAAATAAAATTTAAATACATTAATATAAATATAATTTTAAAAATTCTATAAGATCATAAAGACATAATTATTACTTTTATATTCCAAAAACAGTATAAGGCCCACAAAAATATATCGAGTTATCTTTGTAAAGAAAATCATTACAATCAATAAAAAATCGCCACTATGTAAAAACTTTGTCACAGCTAAGAATCGTTAGGTTGATGGTTTGGCTAAAAACTTGACTAATATTATTTAAAAGCTGTTAAAGCTATTTTGAGTGTTAAAAAATGGTTTTAAATAGAATATATTTTTTAGGAATTTCTATTTAAAATAATTACGCAGTTTCTTTCAATTCCGTTTTAGTTTATGCTTTAAAACTTACATCTTAGCGGGTACGGGAATACGGTAGTCCGAATAAGGGAATTAAAACAGTTCTGAATAATTCTAAAAAATTATTGGTTTCTCATGGCCAACTTAAATTACACGGCCTGATATGTTGCATTTTCTGTAAAAAATAAAGAGGCCAGTTTTTTTTACGCTAATGTTTAAGGTGGTACAACACCAAATAAATAAAAAAATGAGATAAACCTCCAAAATAAAAATGCTTTTAAATACAGTTACTCAAATAATTTAAATAAAAAAAAGCAAAAAAAAAAATTTTTTTTAAATTAGCATTAGTACCATAATGGCGGAAAAAATGTTTTAAAATTTAGTCAAAAAATGCGTTTTTTGACTAAATTTAAAAACATAATATCTAAGGCTAGCCATCATCATATGACCTGAAATTTTGTACACTTACTCTAAAGACTATTTTATTCCATTTAAAAGATAGATTTTTTAAATATCAAACTAAATGATGAGTTATATAGATTGTCCTGTTATTTTGTTTATTTTTTGACGTTTTAGAGAGATCTAACTAAAAAAAAAAAAAATTACTGGTCATAAAAAAAAATCCATCTGTTAAATGAATTTTATAGGTATTTCGAGCAAGTACTGAAAATTGCAGATTAAATGAACAATGCTAACTCAAGAAACTGTGTTTTGAAGTTTAAGCAAAAACGAAAAAACGCGAACTGAGATAAACAGCTTTGAAAAATTCTTGATATATTATTTACAATACTAATTTAAAATCCTCCTAACACATAACTGTCATTAGATTCTTTTGCTTTCTCCTTATCTATGTGACTTTTTTTCATGGCTCTAAGAGTTTTTCTTCTTTTTTTCCCTTCTCTGATGACTTGCACCTCATTTGACTAATCCTTTTTTTATTTTTAGAAGTCGCTGAAATATTTGATACCTTACCATGTAAACCAAAACGTCTAAAAACACTAATAACACCCTTTGCACCATAATTGTACGCTAAAATAGCTGATTATGTTGGTAAATATATTTACATTAATACATTTATCAATAAAAACAGCAGTTACAACATTCAACGAGTTATGAACTCGCTATTGCCATCAATAAAAATTCTAACTTCTTTCATTTCAAGAGAATTGTTTATTGATTTGGTTTCAAAAGCAGTTTTTTGCATACTTTCTTCAGCTGCAATTTTGTATACTAACATAGCAGTTTTATTTAATTTATTAAAGCCATTAGGTGACAAACAACAAAGATTCATACAAAAGGAAAAAGTTTTCATCGACACATGACCAGCACCTATTTCTTGCAATCCAATGACAGCTTGCAGATTGATCTCATATGGTGATTCTAGAGATGAAAGTTCTTTTTAAAATAGTATCAATAGAAAACTTATTTGTGTTTAAAGAATTCTTTGACTTTGGTGAAGTTCTAATACTTTTAGAAAAGTTACACTTTGTACACTTTAAGTAAATGACAAAAGCCCATCCGAGAATCAACGTTATCTTTGATTAAAAAATTTCCAATAAAGCAATTGGGGCAAATAGTGTGTGCAATAAATATAAATATAAATCCATAGGGTAAACAAACAATAACACTCCAAATCTTTTAATTCTGTTAACTGTTACAAAACGTGTTTAGAGGTTAAGAACAATGACTTTTAATTGAATTTCAATTCGGAAAACAATTGAATTTCAATTGAATTTCAATTTCAAATTGAAACAATTGAAAAGACTGCAGTCTTCAAGCTTACAAAGCTTGAAGGCTGCAGTAAAATTAAGCTTATTTTTAGGAAGAAAATGCCCTAACAACCATGTTAAATATTTAGTATCTCCGTTGCTAAGGAAAAAAAGATACATCGTGTTCTAATAAAATGCTCATATCTAAAGAAAGATAAATTATTTAGCTCTGAAACTTTGGCCAAATGTTCTTCGATTAATTTGACACATTTTATGCAAGATTGAAAAACTCAAAAAAAAATTTAAATTCCTAGTTTTTTTGGTGTTGCACCACCTTAAAAGTTATTAGTTAAGATTTGTTTTTGTACTATAAATTTATTATTATTATTATTAAAATGGTTAAATTAATTAAATTAAAATAAAATTAAAATAATATTAAATTAACTAAATTAAGAACGAGCGCATTGCCTAAAGCTGTTAAAATTAACGAAGAGACGTCACATGATCAAGTTGCAATAGCAGACAAATTAAATAAATATTTTGTATCAGTAGGTACTAATCTGGCCCAACAAACTCCTATCTTCAAAAACAAAATAAATAATTATGCTTTTCCAATAACTTCGTTCTTAAACTCCTTAGAGTTATCCTTTGAACTTTCTTTTAAAAAGCTTAAATCTAATAAATCAGTTGGTCATGATAATATTTATTGCAATGTTATTATCGACTCATACGAAGTCATTAAAGATATTCTACTTCAAATTTTAAAATGTTCAATAAAACAGGGTATTTTCCCCGACAATCTAAAAACAACCAGAGTTTCACCAATTTATAAAGGTGGTGATGCAACCAATGTTTCAAATTATCGCCCAATTTCAATTTTGCCTGTTTTTTCTGAAATTTCAGAGAGAATTTTAAATATGTCAATAAAAAGTAAGGGCATGACATGAGGTAGTAGCTTTTTTTTGAAGTTTGATGAAAAATTATCCATTTAGTTTTCTCAACATTTAGTGACAACTTATTCATTTTAAACCAGTCAAAAACTTTTGCTAATTCAATGTTCATATTTTGGAATAATGTTGTTATGTTGTTAAGAGATAAACAAAGATTTGTATCGTCGGCAAACATGACCGTCATTAAATTTGAGGCTTTAGGGAGATCATTAATGTAAACTAAAAAAGAAAAGAGGTCCTAGTATAGAACCTTGAGGGACCCCACATGTTATATCTAATAAATAGGAAGAAACAGTTGTAATAGTGTAAACAAACTGTTTACGGTTGCTTAAATAACTTTTAAGAATCATTAAAATATTTCCTTTAATTCCTTAATATTCTATTTTTTTAAATAGGATTTTGTGGTCAATGGTAGTGGAGGATTAAGACTTCTTGGGGCCCGGGGCTATTTATGTTTTTGGAGGCCTTTTTATGGGCCAGAGCCTAAAATTGACTTTAAAAAAAAAAAAAAAAAACTCCTCAAAAATTTTTTGGGGCCCCTAAATTTGCGGGGCCCGGGGCTATAGCCCCCCTTGACCCAGCACTGGTCAATGGTATTAAAAGCTTTCGATAAATCTATGAAAACACCTAACGTATATAAAAGATTCATCAATATTGCGGGTAGTTTGGAGTATAGCGTGTTCGGTTGAATTACTTTTTTTAAATCAAGTTCAAATAAAAAGAGAACAAACTACTAACGTTTTAGGAATAAATATTCATGAAAACCTTAGTTGGAAGTATCACATTGATTTGTTGTGCAACAAAGTTGCTCAAAATATAGGAGTAATGTACAAAGCTAGAAATGCTTTAAATAAATACAGTTTAACACAATTAAATTTCTCTATAATCCATTGTCATATAGATTATGCAAATATTGCTTGAGGGCAGAAGCATGTTGCTCGTCTTATCAATTATAAAGATCGATTTGCCATTATTATTTCAAATGAAAATTCCTAATATTTATCAGCTAAATATTTTTAATATACTTTGTTTTATGTTCAAGTGTAAAACCAACGAATCTCCAGTTTCTTTTCATAATCTATTTACTTTAAAAGATAAAAATAAATGTAACTTAAAAAATGATAATCTAATTCGGCAACCTTTATCTTTAACTAATTTTGGAAAATCATGTATTTCATATCGAGGAGCTTTTCTTTGGAACAAAATAGTTTTAAAAATTTTTATATTTTTACCATGAATGGAATTATTTTTCATTCAAGAAAAAGCTAAAAGAAATTGTTTTATCTTTTGAAAACATGTTTTTATTTTTTAAAATTCTTTTAAAAATGAATATGAAGTTTATCACATAAGGTAATATATAAATATTATAAAATATTATAAATATTATATCTGATCCACAACTTATGTTTATGAAAACAGTACTTTTTAAAATATTTTTGTATTTATATATAAGAGTATCAAAAATTTCTTTATTTCAATTTTATTTATATATTATTACGAAATTTACGTTCTCGCTAGTTATTACCCATTTTTACTACGACATTGTTTTGTTTTTTTGATTTTATACTTCATGTTAATTTAATGTACTTAATATTCACGAGCGGTTCTCGATGATAAGACCTAAAGGTCTTTTGCGAGTCTCCGCGGTCTTTTTTTTGTATATATTTCTTTTATTGTATAACGATTTTTATCTTAACTATCTTATTGTATAAGCTATATTGAATATTCAAGGCAAGAACAAAAAAAAAATAATTGTTAGATTTTCTTTGAGTATTTACATTATATTTTTCTGGATTTTTATTTCAATTAATTCCAATAACCAGGGCCGCCGAGAGCTGTCACACCGCCCGGGACAGCAAAACTGATTGACGCCCTGATTTATTAAATTTTCCCTATATTATATATAAAGGACCTTTTTTTTTTTTTTAGGTACTGTAAACCGGGGTTACTTTGAATAGCGGGGTAACTTTGAATACAAATCCATTTTTTTTTCAAGTTGTAATTATGGCAAGAATTTATATGAAACTGTTTGAATCTCAAACATCAAAGTGTTAAAAATAGTTTATATTTTGATTATTTAAAGTTTTACTTTAAATAATCAAAAATTCAGTTTTTTACAAAAAATGAATTAAATAATTCGGATAATTTTCTCAAAAAAATTAGTCAGAATACTTTGTACACTTCTTCAGCTAGTGTAGCAGCTTGTTGCCTAAGTTGCATAATTTTTGTTTATAAATTTATTAAGCATGTAAAATCTAAAGAAGTTTGTTTGCCTACTATAGTTATGTTCCATTGCTATAGCATAACATAGTTTGTTGTATACATTTTTTCGCATACGGGGTAACTTTGAAAACGTGCAAAGTAACTCCACTACATAAATAGTCAGAAACATGAAACAGTTTAAAAATTTCCTTTGTCATACATGTATTATATATAATATATTAAGTATTATATATAATATTATTGCGATTAAAAATTAAAATATCATGTGTATAAACAGTAAGTCACACATACACACATAGTTTGTGTGTGTGTGTTTATACATTGCATTTATATATATATTTATGTATGTGTGTGCGAGTGTTTGTATATGTATGTATGTATATATCATTATACTATGAAAGCAGTGCTTTTGTTTCTTATCTAAATTGCAAATCATATCCTTTCTATCTAACGCAAGGAGTGAGACAGGGATCTATTCTCTCGCCTCATTTGTATAACATTTATACTCAAAACCTACTCGAAACCTTACAAAACAAAAGCGTCGTAGGTACATCAATCAATGGAAACTATACAAGTGTTGTAGCATATGCTGATGAAATTATACTACTTAGCTTCACTCTCTCTGGCCTACAGAAGCTTATTAGCATATGTAATATGTACACGCACAATAACTGCTTAAAATTGAATGCTGACAAAACCGAGTTCCTGCTCACCGTAAAAAAGCAAATTAAAAACTGCACAATAACTCTCAACCACCAACAAATAAAACTTCATGATAAACTTAGTCATCTAGGCTTTACATGGGGTACAAAAAGCTCACCTTTTGTCTCACTTAATAAACCAAACATTGATCACCGAATATCTAGTTTCCGGACGGTAATCCAATCCTTAATTCAATCAGGAATCCGTTTTGCTCACCCAAACTCCATTGTTCAGTTATATTATATGTATGGTCTTAAGCTGTGTGAACATAAAAAAATGTTAATGCAAAAGCTTGATATAGTTGGAAGAAATGCACTTAAGTCAGTCCTCAATGTTTCAAAACATAGCAAAAATTATATTCGTACCTTATTTTTTATTGAAGATACATCAATTATTATACAACAAAACAAGCTAAACTTATTTATTCGCCTGATAAACAATAAAATGAAATATGATATTATTAAGTCGCAGCTGAAAAACGAAACAGCCCCACAAAATTTTTTAGATAGCATCAAAGACTTGTGCAATATTCATGAGCTAAATCTGGAGACAATAATGGAAAGTTAAAAAAAAAATAAAAATCATCAGCCTCAAAAATTTAATTCCTGAGACGGATCTTCAAACTCTAAAATGTGCAGTTGAGTGCTGAAACTTAAATGAAAAGAGAACTATTTCAAGGACATTCTTGAAAAAGATTATTCTAGATGATCACGTTAAAAAAAAAAAAAATTCCAAGATTTTTTATATTTATCTTGTATGAAACTCTTAATTTACCTTACTTATATAGTGGGTGTTTAATAAATCTAAATGAATAAAATATAATCTATCTATTAGTTTAACTTTCTTTTCTTTTCACTTCAGTTTTGTTAGTTTAGTGGAATAGTCTAATAAATATATATAAAAAAAACTTTTTAAAAACAACATTTTCAAAATGGACGAAAAAGTAAAAAAAAAATATGAAAAAAACTTTTTAAAAAAAAGCTTTTTTTAGAGATCCGTAGATTTTTTATGCGTACGCAACCATAATGTTTATCATGATGTTTATCTTAATCAATAATTGCAAACGTATAAATTCTTTATTGTATCTATGGACTTGTGTACGTACACAACTTGGAATCCATTAGTCAATGACTGAAAATGTTGGACACTCAAGATAAGTAGTATTTTAAATCTTATGACCCTGCAACTAAGAAGAACTCGATATCGGCATGATCTTATGAACCTGATGCAAAGTAGAACCCGATCCGAAAGCCGATATTTCTTTCTTACTTAATTGTAACGTGGATACAACTCGTTTTATTTAAAAACTGCTTATATGCAAGTTGTTTGGTAATCAGCTTTACTAAGCTTGCAGTCAATGATCAAAGCTGATGCTTCCTCTTTAGTACACATAATAGTTGAATTTTCTGTTTTCTGTGCCATCTTTCTCTGATTGGGACAATCAATAAAGGACATCATGCAAAAGAAGGGGAGCGGTCAAGATAAAAAGGACAAAAAAGGACGAAGGGGAGGAGAGTATTTAGAAAAGGACCTCACTTTTTATATTTTTTTATTTTAATTTTAACAACATGAAAAGCTATGAAAATATGTGTTTTTATGAAGGAAACATTAGAGAGTGTAATGTTTTTGTTGTTAAAGGAAAGAAACTCATGTTGATATTTGCTTAACTTTTATTTGCAAATGTTCATTAAATAAACTTTAATTAATTATATACTGTTAAACTGTTCGATGTTTCTTATATTTCAATAAGTTGAGTATAAGTTAACGGCTAAGCCTTTTAATTCAATTTACATGCAAAATCTTTGTGCGGAATTTGTCTCCAAGGAAACAGTTTTGCTATCATTAATGATTGTTTAAGTTGAGTATAACAAATATCTGCCCAAAAAGGAATTAGTCAAGTTGCCATCAATACAGAGAATATTGTTTATTTTATTTTTTTAAAATGTGGCAACAATGTCAAACATCATTGTTTTCTGCTGGAACTTTCATTTGCACGTCATACGATTACTGTGCATCTAAAAAGATATATAAAAATAGTCTTTTAAACTGGCTTATAAAATATTATAACAATGCTTATCTTACTAAAAAAAAAGCCGGTTGTCAAAAAGAAGTTCATAAAACATGGATTTAAATCAAGAAAAGCAAAATTTTAAGGCAGGAATAATCCTACCTCAGGATTATCATTAAAATTATCTAAACCCTTAAGGTGTTCAAGGTCTTTTCAGGTTGGATAATTGATCAGTTTCTAACGGTGGCCGAGTATATCGATCAAGATGACAAGACGGAGCTTGATCCTCTACATCTCTTATCAAAGGATCAGAACTGGTTTGCCTTTCATATGCGCATCAGTCAATATTTCATATGCGCACCAGTCAATATTTCATATGCGCATCAGTCAATATTTCATGTAAATTGTGAAATGTGATGTTGCTCTTTAACAAGGAGCTCTTATTTCCATATTATTCCTAGTCGAGTGTTATTTCTGCCTCCACCCAATCCAACCTGCCGGCAGATGACAATTTGAAAGCTGTAGCCATTTTAGACGTTGTCAATAAGAATAGTTTTCCTTCTGTATTTTTCCTTATTGCATTCAATATTTAGAACACCATTCCTAAATCATTAAAATTATTCAAATTTCCTCCGTTATGATCTGTTTTGTCATTCTGTGCAATCGAATTTGTCTCAGAAAACCTGTAAGCGTTGTAACTTGTAATTTGCCTCTCAAGCCATGCTTAAAAAACATGTCAGTTTAACTTATTTTAATGTTATTAACCAAATAGGCTTCGTGCCCTTGCGAGTCTGACCTCTTTGCATTACCGCATTTGCGGCAGAAGAGAATGCAACCTTGACTGAATTGCTTTATGAGGAAGTAATTGAAGCGGAGGGCCTCTATATTCCAAATGATGCGACCATTTTAGACAATTTAGATTTCCCAATTCTAATCATTTGATAATCAATTGAAAATTATTTAAAAACGCTTAGGGGGACGACACACTTTCATTAAATTCAATTTATAGATGTATATTAATATTTAGAGGCCTACAAGAACAAACTACGTAAATCAAATTTAGAAGTTCCTAATCGGCATCTAGTTATCATTCAAACACAAACATAGAAAACAGTAATTCATAAGTGAAAACGTCAATAAACATGCTTAAATTAAAAGAGGATTTTATTTTGGAAATAAAAGAAAAGAGGGAGAACCGATTTTGACATGATGACATTCTTTTTAGGAGGGGTAGAAGAAAAAAATTATACCGTTGACAAAAGTGAGAAGGCAGGAAAAGATTTTGTCAAAAATGTCTAAAAAATGGTGACGCCCTTTATGGACAGACCCATTTTACTATATGGTTCATAGCTTTAAGTGTAAAAATGAAAAATGAGATGAATAAAAGCAACTATAAAAATTTCATCACCAGTAGTATTTTGAAGAATTTTTTTTTATATATATTTATGAATTTAAAATGTCTTAAGTATAAATGTTAATGTACATTAGTATCGCTGAACCTTTTTTAGTTTCAAAACAATTGAGTAAAATATTTCCTCTTTTTCGACAGCAATAGTTATTTTTCTGCTTTACTCGAAAAATCTACTCTTTTATTATACCCCGCCTCGTCTTAAGCACCTAAGAGTATTAGGACTACAAAATTTTAGTTTAAACAAAACTGCAATTACCAGTTGATATTCGATTTTATGAGTATTTTTCAATTTTTTTCTTTCTTAAAAATCAACGCTTTTTACACGGACGAGCTAGAAAATTTCCCCTAGACTCCTAAAATAGAACCAAAAATTTATCTAAAAACCTGACTTTTTTATAGCAGGGTACTCAAATACTTTTAAAATACTCGTAAAAAGTTTGCAAAAAAAAAAAAAGTTTACACAAATACAAACTGTTGGCATTTACGCCAATCTCTGGCCCACTGTGCAATGTAGTGTGTGCAACGTAATACTTTGTAAGATAGTGATTTTATAATGCACCTTGGTTGTGTAGGATACAAGAATAAGAACAGTATAAACCCACCTACAAAATTTGGGAACAACAATTCTTTTTGAAAAAAGATGTTTTTAACACATTTAAACTATTTTTATTAGTGTTTAGCAATATTAAAATCAACTTTTTTAATAAATAAATACAAATAAATTTGTTGATGAAAAAAAAAAAAAAAAAAGTAGTTTAAAAGTTTTTCGAGTCAAGAGTTAAAATTACATTTTAGACTTTAAAGAACTTATAAAAATAAATTTTTAAAGTAGATTAAAAAGTCCTAGAGATCTACAAAATAATCAAAAATGGTGGTTATGAGTGCATTAATGTGACATTTATAACAATATTCTTTTATTCTTTAACTTTGTATAATAATTCTTGATGTATAGCAGAGACTTTTAAAGTAGCAACTATTTTATATAAAATTGTTTTAAACTCAATAATTTTAAAAATTATCAATAAAATTGTTCATACGCCTCATTGTATAGTTTATAATATATATCTCGCTCACTGTCAGACATTTTAGAAATAATATCATCGTTAACTTCAGAAAGTGGAATTTTTAGTTCTCCAACTCGAACAGTAACCTCACCATCTTCATCCTCACTCTTTTTAACATCTTTTGTTAAGACATCACTAAAAATATCTGAATCAGGCTCACTATCTGAACTTTCATGTGCTGTAACCTCAGCAGGGCTTTCTAACCTTGGTTTTTTACTAGAAGATTCATAAACAAGTAAGTCTGACATTATTTCATGATCTTCTGTTACTCCATTATTTTTATCGATATTGGCTTTGATATCAGAGGTGTTGGTAAAAAAATTCTCGTTTGATTTTTCTTCAAAAACAGTACTTTGTGATAGCCATACAGGAAGTTCTTTAATGACTTTTGCTTCAGCTTGCTCAACTTCAGCACCAACATTTATCTGTATTTTTTGATTGTATATATCAATTGATTTACGATCATTAGACCAACCAGATTTTGAATGTGAATGTGACTTTGCTGACGATGACATCTTTAATGCAGCAGTTGAAGGAGTAGGCTCCAATACTTCAGGTGCAAGGTTTATATTTTCACATTGTCGAAGTAATTTAAAAATAGTTTCTAGTTGTTCATTAAATTTTGCTAAAGATGAACTGCTACTGTAATTTTTTATATAACTAACATCCTCTTCAACAAGACCATTACAAAAAGTGCACTTAAACAAGCCAGTGGAAAAATCAAGCAATCGATCAACCTCTAAATCACTAAATGTTTTACTGCACTGCTCACACTGGAATGATGGACGATTCTTTGCTTGTTGTTCTTCATTTTCTAGTTTTTTTCGCATATGATCTAATCTATATTTTACTACGTTAACAAACAAATTGTAATTAATAAAATAGAAATTATACACATTTAAAACACCAGTGTCTTGCTGTTTTTCTTTAACAACTCTTTGTTTTACTAATTTATCGTTTTTTAGTCGTCCGAGAACTTGTCTTAATTGCCTTTTATCAAATTGAAGTTTTTCCATAAGTGTGTCTTCATCAATACACGGATATTTTGTTAATATGTTTATAGTAACAATTTGCTCAGGCTCGTAAAGAGCATATGCAACTGTTTTAGCTAATCTCTTTAGAATAGGTGGTACTTCTGTCAGTAAATCTGGCTCTTCAATTTTCATCTGCTCGTTATTCATTTTTTCTACTTATGTTCAAATTAAAAAAATTCATTAAAATTATTTCATATCTTTCAAGTCTTATTGCGATATATAATTAACAATTTGCCACTGGTTATGTGAGCTCGTAAGGTCCGTTTTATTAGTTGAAAAAAATAGTTGGTTGTCGGTAAATGCGAACTGCATACCGGTAACTTTCATTTGGGAATAGGGTCGTCCATAAATACGTCACGCTTTTAGGAAAGGAGGGGGGGGGGTAAGGTGGGTGGGGCGTGGGAAGGGTTAGTGAATTTGTGACAACTCATACAGAACTTTTGACTAAAGTTCTGTATGAGATACGAAGTTAAGACAAGCGGGAGGAGGGGGATGTCTAAAACTGCAATACACTGCGTGACGTAATTTGTGGACGATCCCAATCCAAAATTTTTTGCTTTACATATTTTAAGGACCACATAAAAGTTTTTTTATTGAAGTATAAATAAATTTATATGTGATTATTATTGTTATTGTTATTATTTATATATTTGTATTAGAAAAATGTACAAATACAAAATAAGTAATTACTAAATTACTTATACGTAGACCACGGTCGTTTAGATGTGGAAAGTTATTATACGCAAGCGCAGTGTCAAGTTCAAATATTATAACTTTAAAGATGGTGACGGCCTTTAGATACCAAAATTTTTTCTGAGTAGCAACAATATTTTTAAAGTTTTACTTAGTAGTTATTATTTGCATATTTTTGATAGAATGAAAAAAAACAATATAAAGATGTTTAAATATATAAAAAACTGTAATTCTCTGCTATATTTATCTGACTGTTAAAAGCGTGATTTGTTTACATTTTCAAAACTGTTTTACTAAAAATCTGAGCGATACAATTTAATAATTTTTACTTTTTTATTTCGATTAGTCTTATCTTGATTTGAAACTGTTTTCAGATCTGAGTATTCAATTTTTTTCTGAACAAAAATAGAATTCACCCAACACTACTTTCGTAGATGTATGATACATTTATATAAAGGTATATAGCTAATATATATATTAGGTATGTGGATTGAAAATTTTAAACTGATCAAAGGTTAGATTGTTATATATCATTAGAAAGTGCTTCAATACAGTATTTTAAAGGTGAAATAATTATTAAAATCGGACTATTGTACAAAAAGTTATGACGTTTTTAGTCGCAAATTTTTGATATATGGATTTGTTGAAGAAACTGTGGTCAAAATTTAATTTTTCTTTACTTAAATTGTTATAACTTTGTCAATTCTTGTTTAAATACCTATAACTTAGTATCAAAAGATATGTGTAACTGTGGGCCACAAATTTATAACATCGTCCATCTATTGGGCGTTTCCTGGGGGCTAGAGGGGGTGCCGAACCACCGCCTTTACCCTAAAAGTAAGCATATTTCTTTCAATAAAAAGTTTTTTTTTTCAACAAACGGTTATTTTTTTTATACAAAAAATTGCTATAATTTTTTTCCAGACCGTCAATGATTGATGTTTATTAAAGTTGGTGGTGGATATGGTGGTGATGGTTTAACACACCCTAATTTCAAAAATATTTAATTCTCTAATTATAAATAAATATTTCTATACTTAATAAAATAAGTGAAACTAGTACACAGTATAAAAAACATAAAAATTTTTTTTGCTACAAGAATTTCATTTATTGGTGGTGTGCTTATTGACTTGTGGGAGGGGCGTGTGCCCCCCCCCCACCAATCTAAAAAAATAAATAAGTAAAATAAATCAATCTTTATAATAACAATTATGATTATTTTAAAATGAGTTAACAATTTAAAACCTGACAATGAGTTAACAATTTAAAATGAGTTAACAATTTAAAACCTGAATTAAAAAGTCTTTTCGCTGCTATTTGTAAATTTTGGTTAAGTTGAGAAGTTTGTTAAATAGGGTGGTAATGGTTACCCACAACCTACAATAAAAAGATGTTGAATTCTTAAAAATAATTGTATCTTTAACAAACAAAATAAATTAGTATATTTCATTTTTTGATATTTCATTAAATGTATTTTATTTCATTACCAAAAATATCAGTGTTGTATCCTATAAAAAAATGTAACAATCAATTTTATTGTTCTGTATTAAAACATTTTAGATATCCTAAGTTTAAATAGTTGTCTTAGCTTTTAGTAAATAATTAAAATAGTCAATTTCATAAATGGAACACTATAATAATCATTTGTAACAATAGACACCACGTGAAGATAAGCCAGAGCTGCCTATCAAAATATTTTGCAAGTCACAACACTTGTGCAAAGGTCATTGCAAGTCAAATACTTTTATTCTTCTCTAAAAACATTTATAAAAAAAAGTAAAACAAAAACATATGGTTTAATACCAGGCATACCTGACTTGATATGACTACTTCAAGTTTTATTACTTACAATACCTTTATACAAGTTTCATCATATGCCGTATCTGTTTTGTAAGTTTTATCACTTGCAGTATCTATTTTTAAAGCTTCATAACAAGTAATATCATAAGTTGTTACATATTACACTTAAAAAAAAATCAACTCTCCTAGTCCAACATCAGCGGAAGCTGAAATTTTTTCATGTTGTAGTCAACAGCTACAGTATCAGTATTACCTTTATTCCAGTAAGAAATTGTGTAAACTTTGTCTTGTTTTGTTTTATCAAGTTTTTCTTCTCTACCATCATACATGTCATACTTTGAATACTTACTATTGTACCATTCATGGCAAAGTTTTTGCCCAACAATTCTATCTGACATTATATCATCTTAGTCATAAAGTTGTATTTACAATGTATTTAAACACTTTATTTCATTGTAAAAGAGTTCAAGCAACTGTTATTTTAACTTTCTTTTGTCTTTTTCATCCATTTTTTGGCATTTGCATACATGTTTTTTTGAAATATCTGCTCATATATCATTATGCTTCATTTGATTTATCATCTCTTTTTATGGATTTCTGAATAGACCACATAACTATATTTTTATGGGTTTCTGAATAGACCACATAACTTTATTTTTATGGGTTTCTGAATCAACCACATAACTACATTTTTATGGGTTTCTGAATCCACCACATAACTACATTTTTATGGGTTTCTGAATCCACCACATAACAATATTTTCTCTAGATAATTGATCTAAACTATCTAAGTAATTTAATTTGTATGAAACATAACAAACTGTTGCATTAGGTGATCTTTCTTCAGCCTCACTAAACATTCCCATTAACTCTTCACTATTTATATTGTGAAGCCTTGCACATGCTACTTCCTCCTTGAGAGTCTGGTTAATAGAAAGTGAGAAATATCTCTTACATTGATGAGTTATGACGTCTCCCACTGCAATAAGACAAGCAAAAGTCATATTGATAAAGTGTTCATCAATCAAACAAAACATTTTCTATTGGATCTAAAATATTTGGTTCAAGGTCATTTTCAAAAGTGAACCTGGATTTGATTTAGAATCTGCAATTTTTAGTAAAATATTTTTTAATACCAGGATTCCACTATAATGGTCAAAATTTGCCTCCTCAACAGTCACACAAAACTTTGCCATCCAGGCTGGAAACTGGGTGACAAAGTTTTATGTGACTTTAAGGAGGTGGTTTTCCAAATAATGCAAGAACACACTTTTTCTTTAGAGCTGTTTTGTTACAAAATACAGCTCTAAGAACTTTTTGTATAGTTCTGCATATTAATGTTAAATGGTTAAAAAATGCTCAAACTCTTTTAGTTTTTAATAAAAATAAAACAAGTATGAAAAAAAATATGAAGATGATTTCCTGGATACCTTGGAATGATACCTCGTGATAGTTTTTGATCAGCTAAAAACTAACAAATCTTTTTAAATCACCTTTGCCATGTTTAAACCTCAACTTGTTCATAGCCAAAACTATTTTAAATGCCATACAATCATACCCAGCCATGAGGTAGCAATTATATCAAGAGCGTGTAAATGGCAGTTTAGCTCATTCAAACTTTCTCTTTGAATGTCACACAGTTTGCTTATGGTAAGATGGTTAATTGCAACTTTGCCTGACATTGCGTTTGATATATTTGAGATGATCGATTGAACACTATCATTAAAAGATGCTAAATGAAAATCTAAATAAAAGTTAGATGATCAACTGCTTTAGATATATGCAAGCAAATATTCGTAACTAGCTATAAGCATTTTATTTGCCTTAATATTATATACAACTTTAACTTATTTAAGCTTTTAAAGTTCTGAAATTTTCATTGCCTTTTTTTTAAGCTTTAAGATTGTATATTATCTTACTGTAATAATATGTTTGCAAATTTTGTTTAAGATCTCTAAGTTCAGCTCTTAAAACTTTAACAATTTGTTTCTTTAATGTAATTTTTGTCTCAGTACTTTCAACTTGTATGCCATGCTTTTTAATTTTGCCGTCACTATTACTAATTTTTTTCAATACTTGCTGGATGTAACAGCAAGCTGAGAAATTAAATAGGACAATCTGGTATTCAAACCTTTTTTTTCTAGGGCTTATTTCTCCTCTTGATTCATGCCTATTCATTGTTAACAGAATGTTTGGAAAATAAAGGCTTGTGATTTAGTGGTGATAAATTACTTATGTGCTCAAGTGGTGAATTACCTAAACTACTTAAAACAGTAGTAGAGAACTACTTGGAGGGACATGATGATAGAAAGACGGGCAAGATTTGTGCAATGCATATACAGGGTTCATTATAAAATTCCTTAAAACGATTACTATCCACTGTAAAGTTGCAAAACCAACTTTTGCATCTTTTCAAAACCCTAAAGAAATGTGGTTTACAAATGTTTAAACTAAATAATAGTTATAACAAATGACTTAACACTGTTAATGAATAAAAAAGGTACATATCTATTTTTACAACAACTGCAAGTTTTGGCCGGTAAAAAGAAGTGTGTGTTTAAATACTCTTTAACTGTACTAAGAATAAAAATTAAAGTTGCTTTATGTGCCCATTGCCGGGGCACAAAAAGCAACTTTATTTACACAAAAAAATGTAAAGAAAGTCTTAAATAACTACCGAATAATAATATAACATTAAATTATAAACAATATTATACTTTTATTATTAAAAACATTTTTAATAATAATGTATTATTGCGTAATTAAAAAAGACTATTTATACACACAGACAAAAATGCCAATGTATACTGACATCATAAAACATGTGATAATATAAAGAAAATTTAAAAGATACATTGCAAATGTTTACATAAAAAGGGAAAACTGTTTTTAAAATACCATCATACCTATAGCTAGAATTATAGTAATCAACGCTTATGTTTTCAATTTCAATGAAACCAATAAAATTTTAGAAACTATAAACAAGTCACACTAAAATAAATAGTAACTTTCACTTTTAAAATAAAATAAACTAGTAAAAATATACAAACTAATATTAATTAATATAAAAAATCTAATAAACTACTGAAAAAATAAGAAAAAGAAAAAATATATATATACATTATATATATATATATATATATATATATATATATATATATATATATATATATATATATATATATATATATATATATATATATATATATGTATTATACATATAGCATAAATAATTACTAAACTAACCAAATAAAATTAAACTTGTTAGTACCCCTCTTACCACCCACTTACGGAAATCAGTAAAACAGAAATGAGGTACCAAAACTGCTCACTTTTATAATCTGCTCAATAATATTTTTCAATGAAATTTGGTAGGTAAATAAAAAAAATATATGTAAAAAACTATCTGGGTAGGTTTGCAAACTATCTGAGCATTTCTTTGATAATAATTTAATGTGAGAACAACAACCAAGTTTTTAATACAAATAAAAGCAATACAAAAATTACCAACCACACATAAATGTTATATATTAATCAAGTTTAACTATTCTTTTTTTCAAAAATAAAATTAAACTTGTATATATATATATATATAATACAAATAAAAGCAATACAAAAATTACCAACCACACATAAATGTTATATATTAATCAAGTTTAACTATTTTTTTTTCAAAAATAATCTAAGTTTAGTAATGTTTCTAAACAGAAACGCCACAAAAAAACGTTTGCCTGACGATACCTAAAAAAAAGTTCAAAAAACCTGGCACAAAATTTTAGTACAAAATTCGGTATATATATATATATATATATATATATATATATATATATATATATATATATATATATATATATATATATATATATATATATATATATATATATATATATATATATATATATATATATATATATATATAAATGTATTATGTTACATAAATAGCATTTAATTTATATATGTTTTTATAATATAGGTAATATAAACTATAAAATATAGTTTTTATAATATATCATAATCATTTAACCATATATTATATACAATTTGTATCCAATAAATTTGTGTGCATATTATATTACAACACGATTACAACAATTGTATGCAAACACAATTAATGCATACAAATCAAACTCTGAAAAATAATAAAATATTAAAAATAATAATATATGTCCAAGTATAGTATACTATGTAATACAATACAGTATATATATATATATATATATATATATATATATATATATATATATATATATATATATATATATATGATACATACACCATTGGCCATTAATTAGAGCATTCTTACTTATATATCCTGTTTGCTTAAAATTACTTTAAAAACTAGTTAGCTTTTTAAATATTTTATTATTTCTAATTAATAAGTATTGTGTTTTTTATTTAATGGACAAGTTGTTACCATAAAATTTCATTTGTATCCCTAATTATATGTAACTTTATAACATCGACTATATTTTTTTAAATTTTTTTTGTTCGTTAAAAATTAATGCTTACTGCTTTATTTTTAAAATTAATGTAATATTTTTTTTAATAATTTAATTTGATTTTCATTAGCATTTATTAACTCTAAATTTCTAATTTTGAAATAGTACTGATGAAAACACAAAGAAATTAGATATTGAAAAAGCCTCATAACGAGTGAAGTAATACAGCATGAAACTCCAAAATCATGGTTGAGATTCTCTGAAAAAACATGTTACAAATCTATTTTTATTTAAAACACAGTATTATCTCCTCGTCAAATAGCCAATAAGTTAAATATTGAATATTCACATATTTGAAAACCTTATACTGAAACAGATGACATTATGGATCTGGATAATTTGGTGGGCAACACAATGAGATAAACGTTTTTAAATAATAAAATTAATTTGCTTGATGAAACACGACAGCAAGTGGTGAAATGTTATATTCTCAGACAAAATGAATGTTGAGGTAGATATGCAAAAATATGTTATTGCTTCGTGTTCTGCTATGGCGATCACCTCAAGAGTAATTTGATTTGAATTGTACATGAAAACCAACCAAGCAAGGTAATGGCAGTGTAGACTTTTGGTCCTACATGAATTATGCAGGACTTAAATGCTATTAATTATTTGAAGGTTGACTTAATGCTGATAGAAACATTGAAATTTTAGATAATTTGCAAAATATTGAAATGCTTTGTTATGGTTTTTCTTTGGTAAATTATTGTTTTAATATATTATTTGAAATATATACTTTTTTTTTTTTTTTTTTTTTTTTTTAACATCTTCACTTCCAACAAGGCTGCAAGCAACCACTATAAGAGTTGGAAGTTACTGGAAGAGAAAAGACTAAATCTGTAGAGCAAGATAACGATTGACTGATGACTTAAAAGATTGCAAATTATATGAATCAGGAAAGCAAGATGAAGGAAGCGAATTCCAAAGAACTGATGTTCGAGGAAAAAAACTAGAAGAATAAGAGTTTTTGAAGCACTTAGGAACAGTCACAGAAAAAGGATGAGACTTAATTGAATGGCGAGTAACACGAGAATGAATTTTAGTAGATGGCACAAGGGACGCTAGCTCTTTAGAGCAGTGCCTATTATAGTATTTGTAGAAAAGAGAAAGAGAAGCAACATTACGACGATGTGACAAAGGTTGGAGATTGGCTGCCAGAGCAGGTCCAACTATGTTTACAATTCGTTTTTGCACCTTGTCTAAAAGAGAAAGAGCATCATTAGAAGATCCGCCCCAGATGTGGCAACAGTATTCCATACAGGGACGGATTTGAGATTTATAGAGATAGAGAATAGAATCTGGAGTAAGAAAGTGTCGAGCTCGATAAAGAGATGCAACCTTAGCAGATGCTAATTTTGCAATGGATTTGATATACGGTTTAAAAGAAAGATCAGAAGTAAGAGTTAATCCTAGAAGATGAATGGTAGATGACTCATCTAGTACATTACCATTCATAAATATAGGAAGATCTAAATTATTACGATAACGATTGGCCGAATAAAATTGAGTTTTATCTGAATTAAAGTTCACCAGCCACTGTGAGCCCCATGCTGTAGCAGAAGTGAGATCCTTTTCAAGCTCAGATACCCCCTCCAAGCAATCAGAGAGTGTAGGCTTCTTATCATGACAAGAGTAAATGGTAGTGTCGTCGGCGAATAATGCCACCTTAGATGTGAGAATATCTGGAAGATCGTTAATGTAAATTAAAAAGAGTATAGGGCCAAGGATTGAACCTTGAGGAACCCCTGAAGTTACAGGATGTGAAGAAGAGTGTTGTCCATCGAGGACAACTTTTATACTACGATTGGAAAGAAAGGACTCAATAATCTTAAAGACGTTACCAGCTACACCATAAGAAGAAAGCTTATGGAGAAGACCAGCATGCCAAACTTTATCAAAAGCTTTAGAAATGTCAAGTGCGATAGCCTTAACCTCTCCACCTCTATCTAATGCACGGTAAAACCTATCGGTTATTACTGTTAGCACATCAGCTGTAGAACGAGAAGACCGAAATCCATATTGATGATCAGAAAGTAAGTTATTTGATTCAAGATGAGAGATTAAGTGTTTGTTGATTAAAGATTCAAAAACCTTGCTTATGACAGGAAGAAGACTAATGGGACGGTAGTTAGATGAATCAGATCGCTCTCCGGAATTTTTGAAAATAGGGATAACAGATGCTGCTTTCCAGCATGATGGAAAACAAGACTCTGATAAGCACTTGTTAAATAGTTTAGAGAGTATGGATGAAAGCTCAGGAGAACACCTCTGCAAGACTACAACAGGAATGTTGTCAGGACCACAAGCTGTTGAAGAGTCTAAGCAGGAAATTACTTTAGATACAGAAGCTGAAGTGATGCGAATGTCAAGCAAGGGATCAACCTGTTTGACGGCTATGTCAGGTAAAACGCAACTAGTGGAATCAAGAGATGATATTGATGAAAAGTTCTTAGCAAACAATTCAGCTTTGTCTTTAGGTGAGGTGACAAAGTCTGAACCATACAAGAGAGAAGGAATAACAGATTTGCCCTTATTATTGATACTGTTAAAGATTCTCCAGAAGTCTCGAGAGCCTAATTTTTGTGATGAGATACGAGATTTAATGACCTGGGAATAGCGAGCTTTGGCGTCAGACAAAACCTTTTTACAATGGTTTCTGGCGATAGTGAACAGATGTCTGTTTTCTGGAGAATTGTTTTGCTGATAGATATGGAAGTAACAGTTTCGATTAGAAATTGCTGCAGCGCAATGTGAGGAAAACCAAGGAGAAGAGTGAGGCTTGACCTGGAATCGTCGAGAGGGAATAAAAGATTCCATGCCAGCCTGAATCCACGAAGTTATGTAAGAAGCACATTTGTCAGCAGGAAGACGAAAGATTTCTACCCAAGGGCCATCACGAAGAAAATCACGGAAAGAGTCCCAGTCAGCTTTAAGGTAGTTGTATGTGGTACGATGATAGGGGGATTCTGATGAAGTAGAAGAATTTGATAATAGTTTTAGAGAGATCAAACCGTGATCAGAAGTACCTAAGGGTGAATGTGGAGAAATTGAGCACTGACTAGGATCCAAAACAAGACATAAGTCGAGTAGAGAGGGTAAATGATTAGGGTTGTCTGGAAAACGAGTTGGAAAGTTGACTATTTGAGTTAGAGATTGAGAAAGGCAAAAGTTGAGGGCCTTAACGCCAGCAGAGTCACTGACACTAGAGCCAAGCCAATCGGTGTGGTGGGCATTAAAGTCACCAACAACGACGATATTGGCCGATGGATAAAGAGAGAGGGCTTGGTCAATTTGATCAGAAATAACATCAAGAATAGTGCAATCTTGGGATGAAGGAGAGCGATATAGAACAAAGAGAAAGGCGATAGAGTGGAGTTGTGCTAAACGAAAGCACATAAATGAATAGTCTGTAGATTCAAACCTAGTTTCACGACAAATGGGTGAGTTCTTACGAATGTAGATGCCCAGACCAAGCATGTGATTATTGGAGTCTTTACGAATTAAAGGAAG